TATATTTATTTAGTAATCTTTTTTATAACTAAAATACTTTACATTGTTTTATATGTTTGTTATTTTATATATTTTCAAAGATTTGTTCCGTTTTTTTCATTTCTTTCGCATCTCCCTTAAATGATCTGTTAATTACCAAGAGAGAGATTACTCATGTCAATGTTAATCATGTTGATGTCAATGATGGCGCTAATGGATTTGCATTTGCATTGCATTTCTCTTCTCCCTCACACTCAATGTGTGTGTGTGTGTGAGAGTGTATGTGCATGCGTCTGCTGTTTATTTCTCAGTGGGTTGCTTTGTTTGTCTGTTCGTTTCGTTTGTTTGCCATTGCATTAACAATGTTTTTATTGCCTTAATGACTACTCGTATTTAACGATTTATATTTGAATGTAAGACCGACCGACCATTTATTGTTTATAGTTAAATTTATGTAAATTAACCTTCACATTTTTGTAACTATTTCGCTTGAAGCGATTTGTTGTTGGATTTGTATTGTGTGCGTGTGTATGTTTTTTTTATTATTATATACCTTTTTGGTTGCCGTAGCAGCTAACTTACCATTTTTGCATTCTCAATAAAACATGCACAAACGTAGCAAATGGGATTTGGTTTGAATGAATCGATGGACGGACAGCCGACCATTAGTCAAATGAATGGATGGCAGAAAACTTGGCACATTCCACGGTGAGTTTTAGCTGGTGCACTTGGCCGATTGCTGTGGCTGATGCTAATCCAATCCGAATATGAATACGAAACACGCAATGGAATCCACCTGAGAACAAGTCTCACACAGCAGCTGTGATATGACAATTATTATTGAAAAATTATGTGAATATAATTTGTTAATGTTTTCGCTGATGGTATTGTTGTTTACTTGGAATTATTGTTATTGTTCAGATACACACATCTATGTTCAAATATTTGTTTTTTACACATCCATATTCACATAGCTATGAAATATTTCTTGTTTGGCTAATGTGTTGCATGACAGTTAGTTATGTGTGAATCTAACTGACAACTGAACGCATTGATCTTTAACCTCAAATTACAAGCGTTTTAATTTAACTCCATTTTATTTTTTTGTTGGCGGTTTGACACAATTTTTTTTTTGTTTATATTTTTTATTGACTTGGTAATTACAATTGTAATAATTACTGTTATTATTATAGTTGATGTTGTTGTGGTGTTTTTTTTATTAAATAATGGTAATTAACTTGTTGTTCGCCGTTGTTGCTGTTGTTGTTAGGGAGAATTAAATGCCAAAGAATGGATTTTGTTGAACAAGTTTTAAACAGATCGCAACGAAACCATGCAATTACTTCGAAAAACTAAACTGAGTCACTTCCGGTTTTTAATTGAATTATGACAGTTCATTTTATTTTCAATTTTTTTGTTCTTTATTTCATTTGTTTTAAAAAATCATTCATTATAATTATAAAGATTACGTAGAGTATGCAGCTATATTTTTTATGTAAACAAAAGTTTCATTGTTTTATTTTTTAATTTTATTCTACTTTTTTTTTTTTTGTTGTAAAAGAACTTTTTATTCTATAAATGTAATCAACGAAACGAAAGTGAAAGAATAAAATAAACAAACAAATCTAAAAAATACCGCTACGACAAATAAACAAAACGTTTCGCTTTAACAGACAGAAGACAACAAACAAACAGATCTCAGATTGCCAATATTTTTGCCAAATTGTGCGAAAGAGAGAGAGAGACAATGAGTAATTGCAAATCTCTCACTATTGAACTCTTACGCATGGTCAGTGCTGACAACTTCTTCTATATTTTTATAAATAAAGCGCGCAATAATTACAATTATGGAAAATATATGCCATTTACAAACAAAATAATAAAATATTATTTCTAATAATAAAATAGAGTGGAATATAAACACATTGAACATTAGGAAGTGCAAAACCTTGGTCCAAAATATGTCTTCATTTCAAAAATATGCGACATTCTATCAGTGTTTATTAATATTAGAGACAACATTTTATATTTGAAATAAAATTTATGTCCCTTTTTATTTTTTACTCTTTAAAAAGGAGTCCAGTATGCAGGTAAGTATTTCTTAAAAATGTTTCCTTTAACAAATTAAAAAAGCTTTGACGTTTTTTGGTTCACACAAAAAATCGCTTCATTGACATCACTACATAAAGAGAAAGAGTTCAAGTGAACAACAGAAAAAGCAAACTAACGATCTTTGTTGGCGGATGTGACGTTGTTTGTAATGCAATTATCTCCATGGTATAATTATTTACTTCCGTTACCGTTGGACTCTCTTTATGTCACACGACACTCACACAGACATGACATTGTAATGGATTAAAATTTATTGCTTATATATATTTTACAAGTGATTTATTGAACATCATTTTATTTGTTTACATTGATGGCTTTTCTCTTAATCGAAATCTAAAAATATACAAACAAACATTTGCAAAACTACTAAAGTGAACTGTATAATGTCACAGCATTCTGCTGTTTTGGATTTTGTTGTTGTGCGTAGGATTGGTTGGCCAAAAATGCGATGTTTTGGTACCATAAGAAGTATTTTTCCATATATGCCAGCAGCTCTACTCTCTTTTCATTCATGTAGGCTTACGCTGTTTTTGTCATTTATGGCTGGAAATGCATTATTCTCTGTTATGAAAATAAATTATTATGACAGATATGGTTTTATTGTTTTGTATACATTTTTTGGAGCATTTTAATGATTTTCTACCTAAACGAGCTGTTTTGTTCATAGTATGCTTTGATATTTAGATATATTCATATTTTATACAAAATAATAATAAAATATTTATGAGAACACATTTTTGAATCATTAATTAATTTTTTTCTTCAAATTTCTTAAAAAATCCCCAGCAGTCTGACAATTTTATGATACAATAAAATTCTACAGCATTTTTTTATCTTGATTACAATTTGCAAATGTTAAATTTTGAATGAATTTTTTTAATAATATTTCTCCTCTATATTTTTTTTCTATTTTCATAGAGCAACAATTGTGCCAGTGGTTTGGGTCTTCGATATATTATTGCCAGAGGAGGGATGTATTCGTTTATTTAACACAAAAGTGATAAATACCATTTATTTATATTTTATTATTATTAATTTATATTTAATTTCCAATCAAAAATCGTTTATCTTCATTTATATTTATTCCCTTGACTATTTGAATAGATTTTCCATATGTATGATTACATATGAAAAAGTGATGCCAAGTTGTATGCACACGCTCTTTGCTAACCATACGATTCATCGACATGACACTTATACGACGGCAACTCGATGCAATACAAAGTAATAATAACTGAAATATACAAAATTGACAGTATAATAATTATATATATATATTTAATATTATATAATTGTAAATAAAAATGGCATCTATATCACTTAAAAGTAAATGCTCACACAACAGTTGCCGTTTGTCATCGTCATACGTTATACGCCTGCATTTCGTTACACCATCGAGTTATCGATACTCAACAACAAATCGATATTTATTTTGCAGGAATTCATTTTTTTGCGATTAGTGGATAATCGAGTTGTGTGTTGCTCAGTCGTCGTTTATCTGTCGTTCGTCAAACACGATATATTGTGACTGCGCCCGTAAGCGAAACAAAATTCATCAACTTATATAGAATTTTTCTGTGAAGTGCAGTGAGAAAAATATACACATACATAAAAAAATATAATAATAATTAAAACAAATATGCAACAATGTTGCAATGAAAGTGAAATGAATGGAAAAACAAACAAATCCAATACTTCTTATTAATAATAGAGGAAAAATTCCGTGTGTATAAGAGAAACGAAACAGAAAAAATCAAGAAAAAAACGACGGGCAAAAAGCAGCAAGCGCAAGCAGGCAATTTGTTGTTTGTGGAATAAAAGTAAATTAATAGTGGTGTAGCAACAAAACGCAAAAGGAAAAAAAGCAATAAAGTGGCGTTTAAAAAAAGCGAAAGAAAAATGCCAAAGCAATACAATTTTTTAGTGAGATCCCGTCAGCCATCCAGCCATTCGTCCAGCATTGCCATATAATTAATTGAAATTGATGCGAAATGTTGTTGGAAATGTTACTGTGTGTGTGCTTTCGTTCAATTTTTTGTTTATATTCTAATTAATAACGTTGATGAATTTTAACATCAGCAGCAACAACAACAACGACGACAGTTGTATCAGCAACATTAACATCATTGCTAAAGGAGGCAAGGCTACTACAATACGATACGACGTGCTCGCTCGCCAGCTGAAGAGGAAGCACAACAGCAACAACAGCAGACGAAGACATACAGACATACATCGTCGGCGGCCGAGACAGTGAAGCAGCATTAAAAGTAAATACATACGATACGATATTGCTGCTGCTGATCCAGAAGAGGAGAAAAAGGCACCAGAATTCATCATCAGCTAAAACGACGGACTGGCTGCTGATTTTGCTTTTGGTGGAAATGAAAATGTGGTGTGAAAAAAGAAATGTGCTCTTGTGTGTATATTTATAAAAGAATGAAAGAAAAAAAATAATAAGTAAAAAATAGCAACAACATTTGGCCCCAAGTCTGCCCAAGTGAAAGAGAAAATAGCATTCCAAGAAGAAGAGGTTTCAAGAAACAAAACAAAAATACTATTCTTTTTTTTACCAGGAATTTTCGCATTGCCAGAAATACATAAAAAAACGCGATATATTCTCGTTACCATAGCTTAGCGGGAATACAAACGATCTATCTTCGTCCAAAAAAATTCGCATTATAAACAAATGAGAACTTTTCTATTTTTTTGTTTTGCACAATCAGTAATAACTGATTAATAAAATATTTGGTTGGGAGAGGCAACATCACAGAGAAACGAAGGTGACGAAAACGACGACGACGTACGTACGTGCCACATTGATTCTTTTTGTTTTTTGTGATTGCAACGAAGGCGACAAACAACCCGTCATAATAACAACAACATCATTAACCACAACCCATATTAACAACAACAATATGTCCAGCTGGGCCGAACGGGTTCATCGTCGTGCTGCTGACTTCAGCAGTGTTGTCACTTCATGTGGCCATCCAGGTTCATCTGCGCCCACGTATCCCTACCGCATGGAAAAAGTTAAATTTGGTGTACCCCTGGATGAGGTGTGCAAAAATGATAACATTCCAGGACCACTATTGGTTCTCATACTCAAACTAAATAAGGAATCCCCGAATCGACGTGATGTATTTCGTGCACCCGGCCATCAAGGTGCCATGAAGAAGCTGATACATTTCCTACAATCAGGACGTCTGGTGAACGTGGACAACTATTCGGTGTACACAATAGCCAGTGTTTTGAAGAAATTCCTGCGAAAAATACCAAATGGCATATTTGGTCGTTCGGGTGAAAATGAATTATTTGCCATAATTGAATTGAGCAATGAGGCAGAACAAAATGAACGTTTACACAAGTAAGTTTTGAATTGAATATTTTTCATAATTATTTATTGAAAATTTATACATTTTTTGTATTGAAGATAGGAATATAAAGATTGCATACTACTGCAGGAGGTGGTGAAACGTATCTATGTGTTGTTGCAAAAACCTTATAGTCGTTACAATTCGTATTCATCTCCGTCAAGAAGAGTTGGCCTACGTTTCCACGTCAGTGGAACGATCCGAAACAATTCAACGATCTTCGCCTCAGCCTATTGTGTAAAAGCAGTAGGGCTGCTGCAAGAACCTAAGCTTAAAAATCCCGACTTATTAGAGGGTATAAAGAAATTAAGACCAAATTGGATTCCCCATATTTTGTAGACATACTCATAAGAACTTCGGTGAGAAGAAAAGGGGAAATACGGGCAATTTGTAGTAGGTTTTTTAAACGACCTAGAACTATTCCCAAATCCTACGATATACACGTAGGACGTTCCGAATAGTTCAAGATTATCTCCACGATGTATTATCATCTAAACCTATACCCGGAATATTTGCACCTCTATTTTTAACTTGTAGTTGGAATTAGAACCTGATTAACAGCAGAAACCTGACAGTACTATCCGCCAATGCAGCTCATTAGGCATCCATTTCTTGATATTTTTATACAAAATAATTCGATATCATGCAGAATATCTGACCTCCCTTTTTACATTGGAGTTAGGACATTAGATTTGGCCTGATTAGACCTGATAGCCATAAGATATGTTAAAAAGTTAGTGTTAGCCCAGCCAACTCTAGCATGAGGAGCACAGCAGTGTGGCCCCCAATGCAGCTTAATATTTTACATTTCCATCCATTTCATTTCATCTAACCTCCATATCCAGAACATCCGACTTTCAATTTTTTAGCCTGATTAGACCAGACAGCAATAACAAAAAATATTGGGAATATTTTAAACCGCAAGAAATGGAAACAATTGTTTTTTATTAGTATTGTCTCTTATCGAAGCGGGAATAGCCCCTTTCCAGTTACTTACCTGACGTGGACATGCCAGAATTAATCTTTCTACATAATTCCTTCATGGTAACTCGGAAAATCCAATTGCAGGGTTTTACCAATATCACAAATTACATACTTATTGACTTAAAATGCACACAAGAAATTTTTTGCGACAATTATTCGTGATTGATTCTTATTAGGTGTGAAGGAAATCCCATAAGAAAACTGGGGGAAAATACCACAAACATTTATTGTAGATACCATGTAGCATGTTTGCCAATATCGGTGCAGAATTTGTAACCATTAAAAAGGCAGACAGAATTTCTGCCAGAGTTTGCATTAATTTTTTTTCTAACAATGCATTTCAATTTCATAGTTTTCAAATATCTCCTAAATTTGTCTACAAGTGGAAAGTTGTTTTAGAGGATAACAACAGCAACAACAACAAATACCAACCAACTCCACTACCTAATAATTTCAAATGTGAAAGTTGACGATTGATTTTCTTGTTCATCATTAAAAGCGTTTTGAAAGTATTACCAATGGCTTGAAACGATTATGAACATACAAACGACACACTAGTGTGGTGGTATCTTGTCGTTTATACGTATATATGTATGTATGTACTGCAGAGCAGTCACCATATGCCAATTTCAATTTTCCCAAACCAAAAACCAAACCATATGTACCATGGCGACATACTACTAGTGGATGGATAGATGGAAACAAAACAGCCAGTGGTAGCAGCAGCAGCAGGCAGACAGGCAACATAAGCCTTAAGAGCGCGCCTACGTGTCTTCTCTATCTTCTGATATTTGTTTTTGTTGTTAAATTGTGAGAGCGCGCACTCGTCAAAGTGCTGACTGGCTGGCTGACTGACTCTGTGCTGCAGATGTTGTCCTCGAAAAGTAAAATACTAAAAACCGAAAACAGAAAAAAGAAAGAAAAACATAAAAACTAGAAGCGACGACAAACTACGAGACTCATTACAATTTTCCAGTTTTTCTGGCTTGTTGGGTTGCTTTTATGTCTAGTGCCAACTTTTTGTTGTTTTTGTCATATTCTTTCATTAGTATGCTGTGTGTTGTTATTGTTTAATGCTCTAGCAACAGGAGTTTTATTTGCACATTGCTTGCCATATAGCCGCCTAGCATTTAGTTAAGTAGAACAAAACAAGGAATACAATAGAAGAAAAGATAGTGCGATAGATTAAATGTATTATTATCTAGACCGGTACACATTGCAAAATGTAACATTTCCTGTGGATGATTTTGAAATGCTTTAGTAGAACAACTTTGTAAATAGTATCTATTATTTTTTTGTTTTGTTTTGCATGGGGACATGAACAACAGGTATCATGCCGAGTCTTGCAAAAATATGAAAACAAAAATGCACAAAAAAGGCGTAGCAATTTCTCTATTAGTTCGGCCATATGCTGCTACTCTCGCTCTCTCGGTTTGTCTCTTTGCTGTATCCAATTTAGGGCTTATCTCTGTTTGATGAAGAGAACATTTATTATGTCAAATTGACATGTATTGACATTTTTTAATACAACCATAGCACATTGCAATGAAAACGATTGGCAGTTATCGAAACGAACCAACGAAAACAACAACATTGACTACTAAATGAGTGATTTTACTGTTGTTCGTGTGTGTTGTAGTAAATTCTCTCCTGTGTTTAGTTAATGTTGTTGCCCTCACGCCGCCAGATGCAATTGCATGCATTTTATTTATTATTCTGTGTAATGTTTTTGTTTTGTTTTGCACAACAACGTCAAAAAACGCAAGGTAACAAAACAAAAATTGAAAATAAAATAAAAGAGCACAAAAAAAGAAGAAAAAAATATTCGTTTATTCACGCGTATAAAATTTATTCGATTCAATAATATACGTTGTGTCTGCTGGCTTGCGTTTTATTCGTCCGTCTGACCGTTCGTTCATTCGTCGGTGTGTCAATGCATTTTGCTGTTTTGCATTCGAAATGTTGTTGTTGTATTGCATTGCTGTGTTGTTATCTATCTGTGGAGGTACTGTGTCTGACTGAGTGTGTGTTGTTGTGTGTATTCGTTGCGTTTCTCGATTTCGTAAACGTTAATCTCAATTAGAGCAGAACCGTTTGTAATTAACAAATATTTTATTGCCATCATTTGCGAAAGTGGTTTTGTCGATAATTATCTAATATTGTATGAATGGTGGAATGGCATAAAAACAACAAACACATAACAGAGACACAAACACACTCGAAGACTTCTCATTCACTTTCATAGCAAAAGCAAAAAAGAAAAAATGTTATGAGAATGAATTAATTCTCAGAGAATATTTATAACTCATTAAAATGCAATGAGAGCTGTTATGACAGGTAGCTGTTTAGCGTAATTATGTTGCTGTTAAATGTTATTAAGCTAATTGTAGTTGTTTGTCTATGGGCTAGCAGAAAAAATAATCAATGAAAAATGCACGTGGGTTTAAATGGAATAAAATGAATGGCGTGGCAAAAGGATGATGGTACACAACTAGAGGAGAAAATACAAATATTATTTGTTGTTGTTGGTATTTTTTTTAATTAAACATGTTGTTAGGCATTGCACAATATCTCTTGAGTTTTGCTTATTTTTTTTCAAATCTGAAAAATTAGATTTCGAAAATTTAATTTGCTTAGATTGATATATTTGTTTGTATACACAACACACATGTTTAATTATTATTATAATTATTTTTGTTGTACGAATTTTAATTTCCTAGCAACCAAAAGCCAAATGAATGAAATTATGATATTGGACGGTTGGTTGGTTTGCATGATTTTCTTCTGGAATTTGTTTGTTTGTTTTAAACATACTACATATTGATAAAATAAATGCTTCTCTTTTTTAGTTAAATGAGGCGACTATAAATTTTTATGTTTTTTCCACATTTTTTGTGTTTTGCTTAATGACCAAAATATGTGGGTCTGTGTGTGTCTTCTCTCATTCATGCGATTACAAAGCTTGTGGCAAAAGCAATGAATGACGGCGTTGACGACGCCCTAATATAGTGCACAAAAAAAAATGAATGAATGAATCAAACAGAGTCCAACCACAAGCAAAGTGGTTGGTTGAACTTTTCCTCGTATCTCTATGGGCGAGTGTGTGTGTATGTGATATCCATACATCCAGCACAATATATATGATTGTTGGGCTAAATGAGTTTTCAACAACAAAATATGTAGCAACATAAGTGGCAAACAGCAACCACAACAACAAACTAATACCAATCATTCTAAAAATTCAGCAACCAAAAAAGTGCATTCCTCCTCCACCACCACACACGTACACACGCAGTGGCGGCGGTAGCAGGCATGATGAGGCAATGATATAAAATTTATATTGCGAAATTTTAAATAAAATTCTCTGAGGGCCTTTCAAGTGGATTTCTTTGCCTTTTTGGAGATAATTTGTCTGCCTTTGGTGTGCCAGTTTGTATGTGTGTGTGTGCATAACTTTTGTTTTGAAAAATCACTTTGAAGTATTGCCACAGTATTTTTTGTTGTCGTTGCTGCTGTTGTTCTAAATGCTAATGGGAACACAGCCATTCTCTTGGGACAATTCAAATGACTAATAATATGTTGATTTTAATTGTTATTAGTATATTTAAAGAAAACAAAACATAAATATTATCACCACCATTAATGTATTTGACGTATCACAAACAAAATTTGTGACGACATTGTAATTAAACTATCAGCCACAGTGATATTGATAAAAATAAAATTATAGTATATACTAACTATATTATTAGCAATTATTATTATTAATTGCGTTGTGCTAGTTATTAGCAATTAGCCATTTAATTGTAGGTATTAATTTGACAAAAAAATGAAATGATAACATATTGTTATTGACAATAAAGCTGGCGTGGTTTTTCATTCATACATTCGTTTATCAATATAATTTTGAATGCGTAATAATAATTTTGTTTTTGTATCTCTTTAAAGACAAATACGTTTTTGAAGTGCGTAAAATGGGTTTGTGCAGAATCTCCTTCCATTGAGTCAT